CTTCTTTTTCTGAAAACTGTATATGTACTTTAAAGTCTGTAGGAAAAAAACTTTAAAAGGCTGCAAGAATATGTATCAAAATGTTAACAATGGTGATCTCTAAGTGGTGGGATTATGTGTTTGACTATAAAGTCAAAGAACTTTGCTTTTTTTTTTTTTCCCCCACAATGCTCATTTTATTACCGGTAAAATAATGAAATACACAATAATTTTCATTAAATGAATCCCTTAAAAATACCAAAAAGTTGGTAATCAAAATCAGTCAGGACAGATTTTTTCCCCCCTAAAGCCTTCCTTCTGATACCTTCAAGTTCTTTAAATTGTTCATGGCTAAAAGCCTGAAGTAAACAGGTAGGAGGATTAAGCTGCAAGAAGAGATTTTTCAGTTTTATCTCCTATTTTCAATTCTCCATGGGATGATATATATTCTTGGACTTACAGAAAAGCTGACATTGGAGGCTTAGTTTCTAGAACTTAAGCACAGATCCTGTTAACAAATAAAGAAAGAGAGAAAGAATAAAGACTGTATAAAGTCCCATCAGAGCACAGAATAGTTCTTCACTATAATATACAAAGTGCACAAGAAGAATCTTGGATGGATAAGACAATGTTTTCCACCAATCTCCATTACAAAAGGGATTTCAAAAGACAACATCCAAAAGTAGCAAATATTTTTTAAAACCTGGCAAAACTGACTACTCGATAAGGCAAGAAAATGTCTTCTAAGATCACAGTGGTGCTCTACATATATTTTTAGACCCTCAATACATAGTTCTTGATTTGAAAATAAACAGCAGGCAATCACTCGTCATCTTCCTTCTGATGGATACAGGTAACTTAAATGTACTAGGAACTGAAGTAGACATATAAAAAGAGAAACTATTTAAAATATACTACAAACCTGAGGTTATAAAAAGTATGTTTAGTGGTCTAACTATGAAGCAAAATACAAATTTTGAGCAGGTGGTGCTCCAAAAAAATCTACTTGTAAACAGATGTATGGAATTCAGAATATACTTTCCCATAGAAACGGTGCTATGATGGTGGTTAACTCTCAGTCTAGTCCACAATGCCTATTTAGTTGTTAATGAGAAATATTTATCCCACACCTGCGTTTTATGTGAATGGTATTAGTCTAAGTGAACACACCAATAATGCTAGAATAAGAAAAACTCTCCTTTCAAAAACTCAGAGTTGGAGGAGTCAGCTCTTGGAGGAATCCCTCTCCACAAAGTCTCTCCAGCTATACAGATGCCACCCCCAAGGCCATACCCTCTTCCTGGGGGCAGCCCAAGTCCAAATGACCAGTCAATAGGTGGTGGGGAATAAAGGCCCTGCCCCATGCTTCAAAGTGAGATAACTTTGAAGGGTCATCCCAGCTCCAAAGTTCCCAACTGGGAAATCAGCTGGGGTCTCTGCTACAGCTGCATCATACCATTGCCCCACCATGGCTCCACTAATGATGCTAAAAGCACTACCCAGTAAACCTCCTGCACATAAATCTCTTGTCTCCAAGACTATTACCTGGATCTAAGACAAATAGTTAACACTTTGTAAGCTCATATTATGTCGGCAATGTTCTAATATGTATATTATATACAATAGCTATAGATAGATATCTTACCACATATGTATGGGTAGGTACTATAATCCCATTTTACATATGCTGAAACTAAGCCTCAGAGAGGTTACATTACTTGCTCAAAGTCATACGGCACTTAACTGGAATCTAAGGAGCCAGGATTTGAATCTAATCCTACCAAATGCAAAGCCAATCACTATGTAAACTAACTCTATCTGCTAGAAAGAGTTGTTGAATGAAATGAGGCCGACTTGGGTCTCTGGTGGCAGTCAGGAATGAGCGGAGTAGTGAACCATGGTCATCCACAAAACAGGAATTTATAAAAGTTCTTGGGATCCAGGCCCACTGAAAACTAGATACAGTGTGATCAAGGTTTCATGTATTTTTAGGCCTGAAGAAAAAAGCAGAAGCGTAATGGAACCAGAATTCCAGAATGAAAGGACAAAGCTATAATTTACTGTATGATTACTAGATCCTAAAAATAATGATTGGCAAATCTTGTCCACCTACAATCAAAATGCTACAATATGTACAAACTGATGTTTACTATGTAGGAGGAGGATTGTGTTTTCTCATTCTTTACTCCAATCCCTGCAAAAAGTTTCATAAAGCAGTATCTAAAACTACTGATAAATTTCTTATTAGAGGTATATCCTTACGATTAAAATTCAGCTTACTCAAGATGAAAAACTGCAACCAGCTCAACTTCTACTATAACCATACCATAGCTTCCCCAAGCTTTCCCTAGCTAGCAATCTTCTTTTACAGAATTAGTTCTTTATAGCTACTGACAAACAATAAACAACTAAGAGCTAGTATTACTCTGCCTTGCTGGCCACACCGCCCAAGAGCTACAAGACATAAAACCATTCTATAAACTCTAAACAACTACAAATAAAAAAATATTAACTTTAAAGTAAGTCATTAAGTTTGCATGTTTACAGATTAATAAAAACTGACTTGAACAGTGAGAACAAACCACTTAAAGATTTAACAGAATGTAGATTTACTCCTTCCTTAGAATATTTGTAATATTCATAATCACAAAATATAATGTCACAGTTAAGTAGAAAACTGAAACACACTTAGAAATACTAAAAATAGTCCAATTAATGCTATTTTAAAATTCAAAAATAACTGGGCCTTAGCTGATTCTGAAAGTTTACATGTTTGTTGCCCATTCCTTTAAAAATGTATCAATGCCATCTCTTCCACACCCCTACATTATAAAGCATAGCTTTAAATAGCCAAAAAAAAAATTGTAATTTCCTTATTCGCTGATTTTGCACATGGGTGCTAAGGCCTTGGCACCCACATTCAGTTATCATCAACTGCAGAACTGCAGTGAGGGATTCTTCAAATTAAGGTAAATCACTGGGGCTTCACACCATGTAAGAACCAAGAATTGGGCATCATAAAATACAGCTCACTGCTCTGATATAAGTTTGTACCTTCCCTGACCCTGATTATGGCAAAGTTTGGCCCATTTCTTTCTCTTTTTCTCTCATTCGTTTAATAAAACAAGCTCCTAATCAGAAATATGTAGCTTCACACAGTACTGCTATACTGCTGAAATACCTGAGATTGCCACTTCAGAGGAAAGTAATAACAGGAGCGCCATAACCAGTCTGTTTATGAATAAGGAGTTACCACCAGCCTAAGACAAAACTTTCCGCACACCACCTTAAAGTGGTCTAATCTTTCAGAGCAAGAAAAAAAAGGAAATAGCCAACTTGAAGATTTTGCACAGACAAAAAACAGCAGGGTAAACCAGAACCATCACCAGAACATGAATGCAAGCTCCATGAGGACCAGGATATCCTTTCTTGATTATCACTATATCCCGTAGTGTTTAACACAGTACTTGCAACATTGTTGGTGGTTAATATTTTTTGAATGAATAAATGATTTCTATAATTCACTGATCATGTACTATTTGTGAGGAACTTCACTAGGCTGCTTACATATGTAACGAGCCTTTAAAATAACAAGAAATGGGGACTTGTTGGGAAGGGGCACTCTGAGCCTCACAATAGCCCTATGAGGGGGCCAGTGCAATTTTTTTTCTTCGATTTTACAGAAGAGGAAATCGAGGCTCAGAAAGACTGACCTTCCCAAGATGACAAAGCTCTACGTGGCTGAGCCAGGAGTCTGTCTTACCCAGAGTCTGGGCACATCAACACCAAAATGAAGGTTAGAGCTAGGGGGAAAAAAAAAAAAAAAAAGAACACAGAGTATACAGGTTGGCCAAAAGTTGTGTTATCAAACATTCACATATCAAGTAAGTTTGTTCCTGAAAATAAATAAATTTTTCCATTTCAATATTGCAGAGAAACAGCCAGTAGGGCCAACAGTTCTGTTTCTAATAGGCTACATTCAATCTCCCATGTTCAGAGCACTGTGGAGTTCTGGTAAGTGCAGGTGCCTGTTTAAAGTGACTGATCTACATAAAGAATGGCTTCAAAAGCTGAAAGATGTAAATTAAAAGCCAGATATAATAATCCTGATCTCCCTTCATTAAAATATACCTACACTGTCTTCCCTGAAAAACTGTCTATTCTTTGAATTCCTCTGTTTCCCTGAAAAAGCAGAAGAATTCAAAGAACTGTCCAAATAAGTGAAAGTGTATGCCCAGCATCCCATAACGAAAACCAGGTCTTTACAGTGAGAAGAGCAATCCTGTCACATCTTGGCTATTCCCTAAGCGCCCCTTCAAAAGGAGCATTCAGGCACTACCTAAGATTATGGGAGTCTGAGGTTTCCTTCTAAAGATGTGAAGCAGAATTACATGGAGAATGATTTTTTTTTTTTTCTTTTTTTAACTCCGGGCTGAGGACGGAAGTCAAGTTCTCTTCCTTCCTCAAGCAAGCCAAGCAAATTAAAGAGCACCCCACACACACCCACACACAAACGCCCTACAGCAAAAATGTTTGGGGGCCTCTTCACCTGTGGCAATCGACACAGCAAGCCTGGATCTGCTGAGAATTAAGGCCGTCCTCCAGTCGGGGGAGCACCAGGAAGAAGGAACTAGTGCCTAAGTTTTCAATCGGATCATTCTTCTCAACTTGGGCAGCTCCTTCCCTCCTGCCTCCAGCCTGGGGCACACAGCCGGGCTTTGCCAGCGCGGGCACACGGGCAGGGCCGGAGGGGAGCACTGCCGCAGCCGAACACCCCGCGCAACCCTCGGAATGTGGGGCGCTGGCTGCCCCCGGCGGGGACAACGGGCAGGGGGCCACAGCGCAGTCCTGGCGGCCAGGCGTGGGGACCATGAAGGGGCAGCCGCGGTGGGGCGGAGGGGCGGAGTGAGCACTTCCTGACTCTCGCATTGTCCACGCATCGCCCGCACCACCCAGGGCCCCGCCACCGCGTCGTCCCCGTCGGGGAGGAAGTTGGCACTCGCCACGCGTCCCAGTCTTACCGTTCCTAGCGTCGCCTGCGGCTGCAGCGCCCGCGACGGCCGCGGCGTTCGCGGCGCGCTTGTTTTTGCGGCCGCCTTTGCTGTTTTTGCGGCCGCCTTTGCTGTTTTTGGGGTTGGGCATCTCGCTCGCGAGCGTCCAGGTGCCCGGCGACAGCGAAGGCGTCTCCCCGCGGCGCGGCCGCTGCTGGCCCCTCGTGGAGCCGGCTCCGGACAGAACGGAGGGCGCGGGCCGGCGGCTCCTCCCGCGCCCGTCTAGCCGCGCGGCCCG